TTGGCAATCTCCCTGTCTCCACACAGCCCCACGCCTCCAAACACATGGGTGACCACTGTCGTGACCACTATCGTGGTCACCCATGCAAGTACGAACCCACTACGCTTCTGAATGTGCCCCAACTTATCAGACCCTGGGATGGGTGACTACCAAGGCTGGTTGTTGTTGTTGTTTTAACAACGATTAATTGAATCGCAAGTGAGGAGTGAATCATGACAACCCGCGTGTGTGCTTTGAAGCACGCACGACTCTCAATGACTTCCACGAAGTTAAGCGTCGAGTTTAAAAAAAATGAATAAAAGTCAGATGCCTAGTCACGGTTCAGTTATGGATCGTGATGAGCTGAGAGCGTCTGTCAATTTTTTTTTTATTGTTTGTTGTTGGAGCTTTCTGACCCCGTGCCCATACTGGACATCTGTAAAAAAGAGCTTTGTAGCTCATCGGATTCTTCAAGTCTAAATATCCTTATTCTGACTACGTAAATGCCAACATGACTCCAATCTCCCCGTCCCAATGCGATGTATCCGTTTAACCCGGGGTTTATATATATTTATATATATAGTTTGCAACTGTCTGCCGTAGCACCGAGCTGATATATTTTGACGTTTCAATTCCTAATGGGAGGCTGCAACTCGGTGGCCTGGACGTTGGATGCGAGAATCATTTCGACGTTTTTCAATGCAAACAAAAATGATTTCAACGCAACGAAAAGTATTTAAATACAAATCTACGCCAGTTCCACCAACGGGAACCACCCGAAAACGGAGACACGGCCGAGAGAGGAACCCGGTTACAATGCCGACGATTGGCGCCAAAATCCTCAAGTTCTGTTTACCCCCCACACACACACCACCCTCCCCTCACGATCGACAACAACGAAACAACAATAGAAATAAGCAAAAGGTACTTAAATATAATTTACACGAGCAGTGGTATACAAACAGCGCAGAGAAGCAGATGGACAACGCCGGAGGGTTCCGCCACCGACACGGCTGAGGGGAACCCGGTTACAGTGTCGACGATTCGCGCCAAAATCCTCAAGTACTGTCACTCCCCTCAGGATCGACAACAACACAAATAAATAAAGAGTATTTAAATAAAATCTGCACGAATGGTGGGACACAATTGGCGCCGAGAAGCAGATAATTAAGAAGCATTCCACCAACGAAGGCCACGTGAGTTACAATGACAATTGGCGCGCCAAAAAAAAATCCCCTCAGGTTTCGACAACAACCAACAACAAAACCCATAGAAGCGTTGTTACATAATCACTGCTTCGCGAGCATTAATCACGCGATTACAGGGGCACGACTTTGTGTGTATGTGTGTGTGTGTGACGGCATTATTAGTGTGGGGGGGGGGGGTGTTAACAGTCTTTTCTTTATATTTCAACGTTCGACTTAAGCGAATAATTATTTAATACGCGCGGGGGTGGGTGGCATTGGTGATTGTAGTGTTTTCGGCTTCGCTGCCCACCGTGTGCGTGACACGGCAGCGATGGAGGGCTGCTTGTGTTGCTTTAAACCCCGACTTGTTCATCGGCAAAATTTTCCCCTGGGACAAGAGTGGCAGTATTTCAACCACAACCAACAACAACCACCACAACAACCACTCTATACCACCTTCTCCCGCCCCCGGTATTGAGACCACAGTGGGTTTCGTTTTTTTGTTTTGTAATGTATCCTGAGAGTCCTCTCGCATCCCCATCCAGTTTTGTGGCGACGTTCGGCCGGGGCCCGGGTCAGTTACGAGGACAATAAAGGCCCCTTGCGAGGACGTCCACCTTGGAGATGGAGTTGATAATGACCACATCGGTATCGCGTTGCGGGTAACAACCGTGGCAGACGAAGATACCTGATGCACAAATGGAACATTAAAAAAATAACTCTCCAGTCAGCATACCTGTCAACCCCTTATCAGTGCCCTACCTGATTACACACCAATTCAGAGATCTTATTGGTCACCCCGTGCCACTTATAAATCTCAACTTTCATCCTACAAAATCCCATCACAAGGGAGAAACACAAATAGACAATCACCGCTAGTACACTCACAACCACTACACTCACTACATAAATGTCAACCCCTATCAGTGCCCTACCTGTTTACAGACCAATTCAGACCTTACTGGTCACCCCGTGCCCCTTATAAATCTCAACTTTCATCCTACAAAGTCCCATCACAAGGGATAAACCCAAATAGACAATCACCACTAGTACACTCACTACATAAATGTCAACCCCTATCAGTGCCCTACCTTATTACAGATCAAGCAAGACCTTACTGGTCACACCGTGCCCCTTATAAATATCAACGTTCACCCTACAAAGTCCCATCACAAGGGATAAACCCAAATAGGCAATCACCACTAGTACACTCACTACATAAATGTCAACCCCTATCAGTGCCCTACCTTATTACAGATCAAGTAAGACCTTACTGGTCACACCGTGCCCCTTATAAATCTCAACGTTCATCCTACAAAGTCCCATCACAAGGGAGAAACACAAATAGACAATCACCACTAGTACACTCACTACATAAATGTCAACCCCTATCAGTGTCCTACCTTATTACAGATCAAGTAAGACCTTACTGGTCACACCGTGCCCCTTATAAATCTCAACGTTCATCCTACAAAGTCCCATCACAAGGGAGAAACACAAAAAAATAGACAAAAACGTGTTTTTGGTGCCCGTATTGAAACGGCTTGTACGCCGTATGGACCTGAAAACTCAATTTCCCTGTACGGGAATGCGGGGTAAACCAATGGGTTGACATCTATGATAATAGCTATGATACCTGCATGCACAAATGGAACATTAAAAAACAACTCTGCGGTTAGTTACGCGACCGTGGTCATCCCGAACAGACCATGCACAACGTATTATAACGACGCAATACCCCGATCAACAAATATGAAGGAAGACATCACAGCGATACACTCCGCTTACTCCTGACGCGGTTATCTGAACGTGAAATTGTAGTTGTTGCGCTGCACCTACGTCAGCCGTACAAAAGAAGAAGGCACGCGGACGATATATATTTTTTTAATCGAACAATCATGAGGACATAGCAATGGCTTGTGTGCGGCAAGATTTCACCCGGCGGTGGAATCATCATGCCTGTCAGGTGTAGTTTCAACTCGAAAGTGTCGTCGATTTAGGGTCAGCGAGGTTCCCATTCCTCGTTGCTTGTCTCTTGTGTGTAGCGGTCTCCCATCCAAGTACTATCCAGGCTCAACCCTGCCTAGATTTCGAGATCTAAACTAAATAATTTTTATTCTTGGTTCTTTCGGTAAAGTCACGTAGAAGGGAAACAATAAAATAATAAAAATATAAAATTGTGAGAATTTTAAAATTGTGAGAATTTTATTGTTTTATATTTTTATTATTCTGTTTCCCTTCTACGTTGCTTTACCGAAAGAACCAAGAATATGAATCCCTGCAGTCACGAAAGCTTTAAATCAAAATTTAAACAATTTTTATTTTACCAGGTCAGGCCCACTGAGCTACACAGCTCTGATTAAATTGGGCATTTGCTGAGCCGCCCTTAGCTGGGTATCTGTTGAAAAAAAAATCTTCATAGTTCATCGGATTCCTCCAGTCGAATTAAAGATTCTGATCTCGGACGAATTGATCATAGGCAGGTTTACGAGACAAACACCCCCCCCCCCCCCTATATAGCCTGAACAAACTGTTGGGGTAAGTTCTGCTAGCAAGCAGCACCTATGAAGGCCAGCAAGGCACATGAGGGGGATGGGTGGTCAGCACCATGAACCGGCCCACCTCTGCCTCCCCAGTGGCGATGTTTACACACGGGTGCTAATTTGAGGCTGAGTCGACCTAGGGGAGGCCCAGGACCGGTTCAGATAATGGTCACTGGCGTTGGTGGCCGTGAGTGGGAATTGAACTCGGGTCGCCGCGTTCGTAGTGGATTGCGCTAACCGCTGAACTACCGCTCCCCACGGGTATACATTACACACACAAATGGCTACGCATGTCTATGCATACGCATATACGACCCACATTCAAACTCATTCCTGCATATTAATGCATTCTTATAGCAGGTGCAGTAATAAAAATGTACGCCGTGTAGTTGTGAAATTATTGGTAAGCATATAGGAAATTGCAGTCTTACTAAAATGTAATCATCTCTACAGTAACAGTTCAATCAAATGTTCTTTATTTCACTAGATAGAAGCCCATTGAGTTGTGCAACCTCAAGATGTCCATGCCAGTTCAAACATTGTAACCATATATAGAGGGGGTAAAATATTTGATCTGGCAATGCCTCTTTACATGCACGCTGGGACAGGTGCGTTTCTGAAATACATTTGTTTGAGGCAATACCAAAACACATTTTAGGTTTCATAAATGTTTTGTTAAGATGTATATCTAGGGGCAAGTATTGCAGGTGGACCAGGACCGAAAATATAAGGTGTGTTACTTTTTAAAAGTACTGTATAGCCAGGTATATTGAAAAAAAAAATACACACCCTATATAGCAAGCTAAACTCTGGCTTCAGTGCTAAAATCTCATTACCGGGCAGGCTTAGCTAAACTTCCATTCCCTGGACAGTTTTGAAATAAAATCTTTGACAAGTATGTGACTTTGTTAACGTTTGAATTTGAGAATGTTTGCGAATGTTTGCGAATGTTTTCTCTCTCCACGCTTCCATTGTCCGCTGTTTGCCACGAGACGTGGATTCGTGCGACGACCACAATGCGCATTCAAATATTACAAATAAAAGATGTGATTATTGATTACAAAAATATATATATTTAAATCGAGTGATGCAATCACAAGTCTGAATTTAAACTACTCAGCAACCCGTATATATATAAGGTGAAGTATCCACCCATTCTGAATGGTGTGACACTATACCATGCGGTAACCTTAATGGTATCGTGTCACACCAATAGTGACCGATGGAGTTATTAATTCTTATTCTTTTTTTTTGTCCTTGCTGCTGCTGCTGCTGCTGCGTCTTCCCACAGTTGGCGCGCTTCCGCGAGCTGCTCTTCACGTGCGAGGGGGACAGCGAGAACTGCATGGTGGACAACTACCGTCCGCCACAGCCCCTGGGCGGACGCACGGTGCGCGCCTCCTTCCAGTGAGGAGCGCAGCGGTGGGGAGCACGGATAATCATCATCACCCACTGCCCGTGGCTTCCCAACCACCAGCGAGGAAACACACAACCCTCGCGCACACGAAACCTGCACCGCTCGCTCGTGTAGCCCCTCTCCTCCCTGCATCCAGTGCCGGATTATGCTAGTGCGGGGCCTGCGGCATATGTTAAAAAGGGGCCCTAAATATAAAAAAAAAACATACACAAATATGAAACACAATTTTGTTTTACTTGCATAGTAAAGTAATTGTATTTTTCCATTTGCTATACCGCCGGATAATACGACAAATCGCTAACCTTAAACACCCAGGCGTTCATAGAAGTTGAAGGCGGTATAGTACTATAGTGATAGAGCAAGTGCAGAATCACTGAACCGGAATTGATAACTCGAAAACATTTAGCGCGGGGCCCTTTAAAGTGCGGGGCCCGTAGCATATGTAGTTACTTTTGCTATTAGGACAAATCCGGCACTCCCTGCACCGCTTGTCACATGCCTTTAACACTCGCCTAGATATCAGGAGGGGTTTTGTGGATTATCCCCGTATCTGCTCACGTTAAGGGGCACTTAGAAACAGGAGCGCCAGCCACTGTGGTGGGGGGAGGTCGGGGGTTCGTGGGTGATCGGACACCCGTGGAAGTGGGTTGGGTATGGATGGCCAAGAGACACCCACAAAAAATACACATTTGGACAAAAAAAATTACGGATCGGTCGTGCGTTGCATGTTGCTGTATGTTGAACTTCTTTCGCCACCGGACGTAGACCAACCGTGCTAATCTGAGGTGCGGAGGGGGAGGTGGGGGGTTAAGGACAATAAACGAAACGCGAAAAAATACATCGACCTAAACTAAACGCAAAAAAATGTGTTGCGTTTAGATCGATGCATTTCGAGTCCACACGCTGTTGCCCCTTTCAACAAGGTCACGTAAAACGCCGATTTGTGCCGATGATGGAATTTAATGCACAGCAGCGCGCAGGCGGCAGGCTAGGAATGCCGAGTCAGTTGCCAGTAATTGCATAGATTGAACTTAATAACAGTGCAAGTAGAACTCCTCTCATCCATGATGAAGTGAGGAGTGTGCGCTTCACGCATCCTGTGTGTAACCTAACCAACAATCAGGGCACCCACCCCGACTCCCAAAGTGTGGCTGCGCCCCTGCTTATAAGGCCACGGATTGCCGCTCTTAAAGCACCTTTGTGCTTCTAGCAGGCGTCTTAAGATGCCATCTAGAAGCGTGCCACCGATGCACCGATTCACGGATTAGTGTAAATTCGTGACACTCGCGAAACTAACATGCTCAGCATCAAGTGTGTGATAACTGATGGTGTTATATTGTAACGCACATACTATACAAATTATAATATAATAGAGGCTATCTGAGTGAGAGGAAAACAAACTTTAAAAATAGACAGTGAAAATAAAATAACTAATAATCGATTCTTTATTCAAAATCATGACGACCTAACCCCCCTCACCCACACAAAATCATCGGTCGCTGAGATAAGAGATATTTACACGCCTGGTTTCTGGCCTCGGAAGCAATTGTGTGACTTTCAAACGCAGCTCAAATTGTCTCACAACCAATGGATTCCTACATCTTAACGATGACATACCCCGGTAAACCTGAAAACTCTGGGACCAACGTTGCCACGTTGTTGGAAGCATCTGTGAACCAACGTTCCACGCTTACTGGCCATGGATTTCCGTACGACATAATGTACACGTGTGTGTGTGTGTATACACATTGCACATGTACAGCCCGATTTTCAATCCACTGCTGGCTGGACGAGGGCCTCCCCACGCCTTGCGGGCCACAAGGGGTTATATGACCACAAACAAACCCACGTCTGCATATGCATGCATTATTATAGCACCTGCAGTCATTGTAATGTAAGCCGTGTAAGTGTGAAATTAATGGTAAAGCAATGAGGACATTACGGTATTACGAATATGTAATAATCTACGCAGTAACATTTCAATTCAATGTTCTTCATTTCGCTAGGCAAGAGCCCATTGAGTTATGTTGGCCTCCATTAGCCATATGTTGTAAGAGAGATCCTTCTGTAAGTACATTTACAATTGGACATATCAGGCTGTGACACTGAAACATAATAACTTACACACTCGCCAATTACATTACATAGTAAACTGGCCCTGGGTAATTTAGCCTCACTAATCCCAAGATAATAACCACCTCACACATACAGTAAAAACATACAGTACTGTATATAACATCAGTGTAATATGATGAATACGATTAATTTTAAACACCTGATGTGCTTAGAGGTACAACATTACACGAAAAAAGTCCAAATCTGTAATCCGTCGCTAATGGTGAGCGACGCTGTCTAAGCAGCTTCTAAGTAGCTTAGTGTCGATGCTTGCATTTTAATTGAGTTTCAGTCAATGTGGTACTTAACCCCTGATGCAGCTATTAAATCAAATAATCCTCAACACATTCGTCAACAACGATGTGTGGCCTTCATAGTACAAATATAAAATAGGCGACGTTTCGGGCAACAGCCCTTCTGTAAAGCACAATGAAATGTACGTGCTGTGAAGTAGGGGAATTTTAAAAAGAAATGCGCCTAATATATATTTTTTCCCCTTTGGAGCCACAGTGTTATTGATGAACGTTTTGGTTGTTCCTCTGCGAGCAGCGTCACCAATTAACATGCAAAGATTTTAAAACAAAGCCGCAAGCTGTACATCGATGTCAACATTATGCGACACAGGGGGGCTCAAACCCGTCAGACAGAATGGAAAACGCCGAGCCTCATCGCCCACCTGCCATCATCACGCTTCTCCTCCAGTCCACATCTAAGATTACCGTCACGGGCTGCCCACGATCAAACTGCGCGAAAATTTAACGCGTGGCCGTTCGCGACCGACGTCCCGTTCGCTGCTCCATCGTTGATTTCTGGATGGGATCGCCGCGCGAGTTGTCTGCCGACGTGTGTCGTACACCCTCCTCCACTCCACGCCGACAGCCCAAAAAGTGTGCACGTGTCCACGCAATTTGGCAGTGGTACGGACAACAACGCCCTCGGTTCGTGCACCCTACCTCCGCCGTCGCTCAAAGGGCGATGCGACGCGGACGGACACCGCAACCGGCGTTCAAATTTCGATACGAACGAAATGCGTGGACCCCATTGTGTAGGGCACGTGTTGTGGGCGCGTGTTGTGGGTGCAGGAGAGCAGTGCGGCGATACCCATTGCTGTTCTGTGCTCCTACGCTTCTCACGTCCCCTCTGCCTGCCTCCACCGATCAACGATTGAGCAGCGGCCAGCGGTTTCGGGATATAAATCGCACGTCATTGGCAAAAGTAAATTGCGAATTACGCGAACGTTCTCAAAACGTTGTAACCACTCGCAAAGGGTGAACGGGCGAAAGCAACGCAGAGTCGGATGTGGATAGCGGCAAGCTGTGTTAAGCTGTTGTGTCCACATTTTCACCTGCGACGCGCTATTCGTCTTTCTGGAAACAGATTTACGATGAGAAAACCTGCTTCCAAAATGTGGCCTTTCTTCACGCACTTAGCTGGCAGGGAGTGGGGGTGGGGGGCTAAAAGCACACGCACTATTTAAACAAGTAGCATAGTACAATCTGGTCACGTTTTATGAGAGGGTGGCTTCGCATTGATGTGCGTTTGTCCCAAAATCAACTGCCGGCAATTTTAGTCTGGGGCTAAGGCAGGTTCTCTATTAGAGTAACAACGGTGATTTTGTAATTGAATGGAAACGTGTTCTTTCCCAGTGACAGACAATCATTATCTTTTCATTCATTTGAAAGTTACGCAGAGTAAATTCCAATACGTGATTGGGCCTGCTGCTCGCATTCATTGATTCTTAATAGACTCGTGAGCGATTGCAATTGCTTGGGAAGCCTTCATCCAGCAGTGGATTGATCATGGCTGATGGTGATAACGATCGTCATCATCGGCCACGATCTATTCAAAGAAGAACATGTGGTTTTTGTTCCAGGGCATCCATGATTTATCGCACAGCATAATATTTTGTGATTTAGCAGTATGTGGTAAAGAGAATATGTATTTGCTGTCGAGTATAAAACAAATGCTTACATGCGAGTAGCACACATATATATTGTCGGGCTGTGTACATCGTGTTGTCTGGTCTGACGAACTAATATCCCAGCACGTGGGGCAAAACGTTGGATAATCTTGGTTTTTGATCATCGAAGCACATGCAGTAGACAGATGAGTCTTCGGAGACGCAGACAGACCAAGCCTGTAAAATAACACTTTGATAAAGACCACAAGAAAAATACACAGCTTATATATGTGTGTGACTCCAGGAAACTGCACTCTTTAAATGCCATCTGCTTATTCTATATTTCATACACAGCTTATATGTGTGTGTGTGTGACCCCAAGAAACTGCACTCTTCAATGCCAGCTTCTTATTCTATATTTCATATATCTATATCGAGTATATGCATCTGTGTGTGTGTTTGACTTATACGCATTCCGAAGTTATTGCACAGTTGAAGCCCTAAAAGTGGCAGCGGGCACGTGTAAACTGTCATGTCGAGTTGGTGTCGCGCTGGCAAAGTTATCTTCAACGAGAGGCGCGCACGTATGTGCATGTCCCACATGCTGCACTGACTATTCTGCATTGCTCTGTGTAGCCGTTTGGTCATTGGCTGGCAGCTGTTTATAGGACTTCCTTTTAAAACATGCTTTTGTTTCTGTTGCGCAGATGAGAGTTAATCGCTCATGCATGCACGCACATTAAAACACATTTTTGCGAATGTGATTCCCGGAAGGTCCTATCTAAGCGTTGCGCAATGATTTCTATCGAATGATCTGCCCCGTGTTATCTTGTTAGCAATAAAAGCATCAACGAAATGGCCAACGTGTACTCGCTTGTCAGAGGGGGGCCCACTTTGTGTTTAATACGGCGCGGTTATATTCATGTGATCTGCATTTATTATGGTTTTTTTTTGTCCGAGGTTTATATTCAAAAGGAAATGAAATTTTAAACGTGGGCTTTGATGACCAATGTAAGGATTCATAATAAAAAAAATTGGTCACATAATATATCATCATAAAAATAATATGCTTATTTATCCAGGAAAGCAACACTGAGTTGTAGGACTCTTTTTTTGCAGGTTCTTGCATTGGGCATTGTTTTAAATGTGTGTTTAGCCAGAATGAAATATAAAAATAGGTGTTGTTACCCTTTCTGGCAATAAAACAGGTGTTTAGATGTTCAAACACCAACTAAATACCTGCCAGGAATCAAGTCTGCAATAACCACACATACTTGTGGTGAACATGCAGAGAAACATGCTCTCATAATGTATGCATTGTCTTTGAAACTGATTGGCCTACATCAGAGACAGCCTTCTTAATCGCCCTGTCTCTCACCAGTGTCAGACCAGAGAACGTCAAAAGGCGAGCAGTACAAAGACAATGCACGCATCACAACATTCATAGCTTGGGGTGCGCAGCGATATCATGGGACCTTGCTACGGTAAAATAAGTAATATTTAAAAAAAAAATATTATTAAAGATAACTTTTTTGTTGTTAAAGATAACTTAAAAAAAAACACGCTTTAATGAAATGTACCGTACGAGTAATGGAAGAACTCCACGACTCCAGGAAGTGGCCCCGAAGCTTGCCACAACGTAAGGGGACCGTGGCCAATTACAGCCAACGTCAGTTGACCGTGGACAGTTAGACCAAAGCCGAAACATAACACATAAAAAATAATGTTTAAATATATATTTTGAATGCTAGAATATAGTATTGTCATCAGTATGACATAAGAATACAAAGTTTCCAGTCGATACCACTTTGGGAAGTGGGTTACAATTGAGTTACAAGATTTCAGGATACAACAATGACAACGACAACGACGACGATAACAACAACAGCCAGAGTGAGTTAATAAAAAGCGTGTAATAAAAAAGGGTCCCATGATGCGTTTAGCCAATTAATGATTATTTTATACAGATCGGGCGAGTTAAAATGTGGCTTGCTCTCCAACACACCGGTAAGCCGACAGCGGTAACACATCGACGCATGCGTTCATCGCGCGACAACTTTATTCATTGCCCGTGTTGGGTGGTGGAGGGTGCACTACGACACACACATTTTATTTTACATATATAAAAAAAAACATTAATGAATGAAAATAGTTTAAGACATTTGTTTTTTTGGGGGCATTCTTAAGAGCGCAACACTGTTTTGAAGGCATTACGTTTCACCGACAATTACAGTCGACAGCAGTTTCACAGTAGGGGTGGTGTGGCAGGCGATGTTGCTACGTGGTTTTACCCAATTCATTTATTTGCGAAAAATATTCAAATTCTGACCGCGACGCCAGCACACGCGGCTTACTCATTTTATAGAATAACGTGACGGGATCTCTCACGTCCATTACGATACAGACGGCGCATATTTAACGCAATGGCAGTATTAACAATGGGGGGGTATTAATCATGGGGGTTAACACTGCCGCCTTTGTATCCCGAGTACCGGATGTGTACACTCATTTAATGCTGAGTAAACCTAGGAGAGGCTCAGAAGCAGTTAATTAATCAGACATTCGTCACCGAGTTTGGCTTTGAGCGGCAATCGAATTCAGGTCGCCGGGTTCGTAGCGCGGTGCGCTCACCACTACACCACCGCTCCCCTCAAACGATGGGGACACGTTAATGGGCCCTCTTACCAACCCGCCAATGTTTCACTGCCTTGTGAAATTAATTTCACAATTTGCCACCGTCGACACAATGCAGCAGCTGATTCAGCTTTATCTCATGCGTGAAGAAATGGCACTCACTTGCAACATGGGGCTGGCTGCTGAGCAATGCCTTCTTTCCTAACGCTGGCCGTGTATGACATGGCCTTCTGGCAGTGTCCATGTGCAAAACCAAAAAAAAAACCCTTGTAATGGAGTCGATTTTCTTTTGTGAGTTGGAAGTACGTGATCCTTTTCGAGATTCCCCACTGGTATGCATTGCGAAAGCAAAGGGTTTCCGTCTTGCTGAGGAACAGAGAAGGAAGGGTGGCAGCATGGATGGCGATTCACAGATCTGGGACTCACACAAAGATCCCCCGTATAGCCTGTAACAGACTATTGGGGCCAGTGCTGTTAGCGAGCACCTATGAAAGCCGGCACGGCACACAAGCGGGTGGGTGGCCACCAACCACGCCCGGCCGCCTTTGTCATCCTAGTGGCGATGTTTACACACCACACCAGGTACGCATTTGAGGCTGAGCTGACCTAGGGGAGGCCCAGGACCGGTTCATATAATCGTCACCGGTGTTGGCCGTGAGCGGTAATCGAACTCGGGTCGCTGGGTTCGTAGCGCAGCGCGCTAACCGCTACACTACCACTCCCCCCGACATAAATTATATACATACCCTGAGCTGTTTGAATCGGTCCCAGAATTGTGCGCACAGGTCTCGTAATTTTCAAGGCGTGCAGGGTGAAGTGGGAGCTGCGAATGTGAAACGCCAAAGCGCTTGGGACGATTGCAATTCAGCGTGGCTGTATACTCCCTCCTCCGCTGCAGGGATTTCCAGTCTGGATGCACATCGCATCAGTTACTCATTTGAGGCTGAGTCGACCTAGGGGAGACCCAGGACCAATTCAGATAATTGTCATGGATGTTGGCCGTGAGCAGGATTCGAACTTGGGTCTCCAGGTTCGTAGAGCAGCGCGTAAACCACTCTACACTACCGCTCCCCATGTGTCTCACACACACACACACACCGCGTCTCTCCCAGGCGTGGGCCACCGCAAAGGCAAAACGATGTACAAATTGTGTCGCAAAATCTGTAACATGGGTTCGATTGCAAAGAAGAGAAAACCAGGGAACCATAATTGTAGGAACTGATGAGAATGTGTTGCGCATATAGGATGCCGTGGTTAACAGCCCTCAATCACAAACTACTGTATTATGAATCTCTAATACTTTAGCAGGCAACCGATAAATGGATCAACCTGTATAACAAGAAGCTATAGCAGAGCCTGAAGTTGTACATGCAATGGCTCATAACTGGTGGTGGCTGGATATCAGTGGTCTGTGGCAGAGCGCTCAGCTCACAGCACGAACATCCTGGCTCAAGGTCTGTATTTCAGTCATGCGTAATTAAACAGGGTTCTCAAGTGAAGCGATTAATGGTCAAAGCCTGGTCACCTTGCAATGACTGCATAGTCATATATCATTTGTTTTTCACTTAATTTGGCACAATCCAGCTCTGAGGATGAAGATAATGGTCCTTAATGGATGAACACTCTTTTTGCAAGAATTAAAAAAATGGACATGACCCCCTAGCATGAACGAGGCCATTAATAAAAACATCATAGTAATAGAATAACCATCCCAATCATTTCACGTGGCAAACTTACGCCTGGCACAGAATGGGAAAGCTTTAATCGAGCAGTGGATTGACAAAGGGCTGTAAACTATTATTATTATTAGAAGTAGTAACACATAATAACGAGCAGGTTCCTAATCCCAGTTGTGCTAAGGTAATGCTTTGGGGCACAATGTCTATGGAGGCTCATTATTTTTTTCAATCTGCGAATTTAACACGGGTGCGATCAAAATCAGAACTCACGAATGGATTCGCTCTACCGGGGAAACAGGGCTGTCAGTGTCCTGCGATGGGAGAGAGGGGAAAAAAGGGGGGGGGGGGGGGGACTGCATCACGCCGGTAACAACCGTGTTGAAATACAGCTCCAGGTAGGGTCAAAGACCCAGTGTAACCAAATACGACGTAAGAAAAAAAAACCTACGACTCCCCGTTTCGCCTGCAACGACGCATGGCGGGTGAGAAGCAGGTGAAACAGCACGCAACCAAACAACAGGAAACAAAGCCCCTGTTGACATGAGACACAACGATGAGGGATTGGGTAACCTTCAAAATAATCACCTTTCCGACTTTGGGGGGGGGGGGGGCTGCGGTCGTGCGTTTAAACCTTTGGAGTCACCGGGGAATGAACGCAGTCCACCATGGCTCAGAGTACACATACGCTGCTACTGCTGCTTGCACGATGCCCACAATACAATTACCGCATAGTGGGGGGTCAAAGGCCGCAGGGCTACATTGTGGGTAGCTCTCATCAGGCAGCGGATTGGTAAAAAGGGATGTTCGTGTACGCCAAGTTGGTGGCCAACCTGTAACAGACCCAAGAGCCAAACAGTACCCACGAGTTCTGCAAAGAGCCAAGTGTGTACACACAAGCGTGTGTAAATTGACAGTTTTCGGCGCAGCACGGCAGACATGCATTATTCTTTGCTACGGCTGCGATAGTACGTTCTGTATTCGACGCGTGCGGCTCGGGAAACCGGTGAATTTGTGCGCCAGCCCATCGCTTTCGTGCCGTGACGACAGGCGGCTTATTTCTGAAACGGACTGTGGTTGCCCCCTTAAGGTTTCACTGCCACTTTGCTGGATGAAAGCCTCCTCACGCTGGCCGGTGTTGGTCGGTGAAGGTGGTTCACAGGGGTAGCGGCGGGGGGGGGGGGGATTGTTTCAGATATCACTCTCCACTGATGTTCACCGTAACCGGGAATCGAACTCAAGAATCATGTAAACGGGCAGGTTCTTTTGTAGGTAAGAGGTTAACTTGCAGGGATCTTCGAGGTAGTTCTTAATTTCATAACGTGACACCGATATTACAACCAAAAAAAGGTTGTGGAACCTGAGTAAATCAACAAATAAGCCAGTGCTCCTCAATTTCTATAAATTTTCTCAGAGGTAAAAACTTCATCATCTGTGGTCTATGTTTCCGCTCAGGATTTCAAGGTGTAACTAAAACCATAAATCTACCACACTGCAATCTGAAACGTTAAGCAAAAAAAAATACAGCAACGCAGCATTATCATTGGTTGTTGAATTTTTTTAGAAAGTGGATGTACGTACAGGAAGCAATGGTGTCCAACATAACAAACTTTATTACGGGCATCCCTAGGTAGAGGGAACAGAAACGTTCCTGTAAAGTTATCCGTAAAGCAAAAATTCAATTTAGCGAGCCATTTTCCCATCGACTTTCATTCTATGAATCGGGGATACGTTCATACGCAATACATTCGGGCCCCAAGACGTGATCAAAATTACGCTTAAGAACGCGGACAATCTTTTCTTTGCATATATTTAATAGAAAATGTATGAGGTCTTTTTGGATTTGATCGCGTAAATATATAAATGTGTCGTTAAACCCGCCGCCACCCGACATAGCCAACTAGTAAGGGTTGTCACATAAACAGAACGTGGCCAATTCGTCACTAGTACAGCACTAACCGGTGTGTTGGAGAGCCAAGCCACAACATTTACAATCTGAGTACGACGTTTCGCCAGTAATTACAACTAGCTTCATCAGGCAACAGCCAGATTTTTGAAGAAGTCTGTTTCGTTGCTTATATAGAGGCGTAGATGAGGTGACCACACTTCCGCGCTCTTGTGCAAAGTGGAGGGGGGGGGGGGATTACTGAGTCAACGTACATTATGCATGTGCATTATGCGAGCCCTTTGATCTTGTCCCTCCGTGGTCACCACATCTACGCCTCTACATAAGGAACGAAACGGACTTCTCCGCAAATCTGGCTGTTGCCTGATGAAGCTAGTTGTAATTACTGGCGAAACGTCGTGCACAGATTGTAAATGTTGTGGCTTGGCTCTCCAACACACCGGTTAGTGCTGTACTAGTCACGAATTGGCCACGTTCTGTTTACGTGACAACCCTTACTAGTTGGCTGTGTCGGGTGGTGGCGGGTTTAACGACACATTTATATATTTACGCGATCTAACCCCCAAAAAGACTTCTATTATGGATTATATTGGTCGCAAAAGCCTACATGTTAAACTGAGATAATGTATCATTTGATAAAATATGAATACTTAAAAGTAAAAATATTGTATATTACGTTACGTCCAAAGCAATTGGTTCACAGTCTCTATTAGCGCTTCTTTATCACCTGCGCTTAATGGCATCTTTCCGGGCATCTCGACTCACTTCCACCGAGGTAAGAACGGTGTAAGAGTGTGAGAGCCTGCGCAATGTGGTAGTAGTAGTACGGGGCGCCATCGACACAAGGGACCGAACCAAAACGAGGCGGGTGCGGGCACAAACAAAGAGCTCGGGAAAGCGGTACAGCGTGAAAAGGGCGCAACGCAAAGCACCTGGAGCGGCGTGGTACGCGCGCGCGGACAAACGGCCGACCGCGCGTCGTTCAATTCTCTCTCCACCACCCCCCCCCCCCCCCCCCATTAATTGACGTGAGATAAAAAAAAAAATTCGATAAAGTGAGAAATTAACGCAATGTACATCAAATACGTAACGGCGAAAAAAATCCACATATCGAGTTGTAGAACGAGGGATGACTGTATAGTTACATGATCATGCACCCGTTTCAACCCATTAAATGCTATGCTATTGCATGCACCATAAGTCAAGGTCGCACTCATGACACACAAAGTGCTCGCTACAAATGAACCACAATACCTCAGTGATCTCGTCAAGCAGCATAAACCATCAAGCGAACTCCGTTCATCCTCGCAGCGGCTTTTGACGACGGTCACCGCATCGCGCACTTTCAGATGCGCTTTCGCGGCCGTCTGGAACGTTCTACCTTCCGGTATTAGAAAGCCACTGGAGCTATGCACTTTCAAACATTTTTAGAGTAATAGCGTCGGCTGGTGGACAGCAGCGGCAACTGTGGTGGACAGACAGTACACACGCCGGTGAGGGCGTGCACGGTGTTGGCAGGGCGGAGGAACTGGGGCAAGGGTCACGGAGGACCCCATCTGGAGGCCCCTGGAACCTGCTAGCGGGTTCGAGAAGGGAGGCGCGGCCAGGGCGGAGCCAGGCCGCGCCGGTAGCATAAAAGGAGTTGAGAGCGGGAGCTCGGGGCTGTCGGTTCTGGGAGTTGACTCGTCTCGTCGTCGCTGTTGTCTTCGCTAGATATTGCACGACCAGATAGTTGTTGGCTGTCTCGGTCAGCGCCATCACTGTTACAAGGTCAGGGTTGTGTTTAGGCGAGGGTAGGCGACTATGGAGAGTGTGAGGACGAACCTCGTGAAGTGTGGACTTGTCGAATAAAGAAGGTGCCCCCTGGAAACCCTCGTCTCCGAATCATTGACACGACACATGCATAGGACAAGTGTTTATCTGTGGTGGTGGTCGTATGTAGTCAGTGGTGAAATCGCATGTACCAATATCGGGGACCTCTCAAAAAATTTAACATCCCCAAACCACTGGTGCAGATTATATTATTATTTGAATTAATCAACTTCCAAAAGTTACAAAACTGGCTGAGGTCAACTGAAATTTGTACATTTAAATGTTTAATTTGAATATCCTTGCTATTTATGCCTTTTTGAGCTGCGTTGCTTAGAAACTTACCAATGCATGCCCACTGCATAATTGCCACACCACAAAGTATATAAGTTAGCAGAAAGGAGCATATCAGCCAATCACCCGCTGCACAGCTTAATCACGCCAATGAGTGCTTTTCAAAATATCTACGATCTCAACATCTTCTCTTTGGGTGCCCAGGCAAGTTGCAAATAAATGTAAAAAGTAGTTTCACATACGCAATTGATTGAACAGCACAAATCGATCAACAAGAGCACAGAAGTCCAGAATGTGTTTTATTAGCGAATGTTGGGTGAGCAGATAAACACCAGGACGGATGGTTCACGGCCAAAGCAAAAACTCAACTCAAAACCCCGTTAGGAAAAGGAACAAAAGAACCTGCCCACAGAGCCACTTGCAAACGGATCTCCATTCTGCTCACAAGCAAACGAGGACGATTCCACCTGCTGTTTTACACAACAGAACAGGGTGGTGAATCAGTTGCAATTCACACATTTGCTCACATTCAATGCGGACCTGCCGTCAACAACAAATCCCTCAACTCTCAAAGGCCACGCACACACACAGAACACAGAACAGCGAGCACCACAACCGTATTTCTAAACTGCACGTCACAGTTATATTGCATAATGCAGGTTTTTTTGACAAAACCAAGGTAAGTTCCTGCTCAAAGTCACAACTGAACACCATAATACCCCCCCCACCCTTCCCTCTTTGAAGTCAAACGAACTATTATTTTTTCGACGGAACACTTTAATAAGCGCCGCACTCGGAAACTGCATTTCTTCCTGGTAAGTTGGTTTTGAGAGATGAACCGTCTGATACCATGAATAACCTAACTTAGCCCCTGGCCGATTTAAGTTGAGATTTAAGCCATGCCCAGATGCTGCTGTGGTGTAAAGTTTTAGCGCACCAGAGTTGGAATGCACGCACGGGTTGCCCGTTCAATCTCACCAGCGGGAAATTTTCAAACAATGCTGCAAGTTTCTTAAATCTCCCCCATCACCCTCTGTCCACCCGGCAGTATAAATGGGTTTACCACACACAGTCAGTCAACGTAAGGGTTGCGTGGCGGAGGGGTAAAGTGTGGGTAACTCCCACCTCTTCCAAACAATTCTGGTCAGCGTGGAAGAATAGGCCACATATGGCTAGAGAGGGGGCCTCTCTGGTAATTGCAGGCTGCACCTTTACCTTGCTTGTCATTAGTCGTCGCCAGTGTGAGGAGTCCCAATTACAGGGCTCATTTACCGGACTAATGCCCGGTTGCCTGGTGGCTAAGCTCCACTCTGGCAGAAGCTTAAAAACGGCTACATGCTGCCACGTTTTTAGATTTATCCTTCTCTGCAAAAAAACAGATTTTGGTTTAAAAAAAAATAATGATCCCCAATGTACTTATGCCAAATATTTCTCATTGAAGATATATTTTTTTTAATTTTCTTCCTCTGGCAAATATCACACCACGATCAGTATCCATGCTCCGTCCTTTCTTCGTCCATTAGCTGACTCACACGAAAGCACTTCTTTTGGATCACACTTCTGCTTTTGAAGAATTGTATACAACACCTGCTTAGATTAATTACTGTATATGAACATGTATTAATGAACAGCACTACCAGCAGTGCTCACTAGTTATTATGATGTGCGTCAATGCCGTAAGATAGAGCTGTGTGGGCCAACAAACCTCAAGAGCAAACCGTGTAGTCTCGAAATGTATCAAGGCTGCGTGTATGTAGCCTCATCACTGTCAACAGCTATGATCAATCCAATACTGGATAAAAGCCTCCCCCACATGGCATCTCCATTCCTCGATCTTGCGATGCCAATTTATCCATCTTTGCTCCACCTAGGCGGCGGTGGTCCTGTTGGGTGCATTCTCTATTTAGGCTGCATCACCAGTCTTGTCCATCGGCCATCATCCTTTCGAGTGCCCAAGTCCACCTCATCCCCATTGGACTCCCAGTTGCCAGAACGAGCTCCCTGGACAGAAGCTTCCTTCACTCTGCTGTCCGAACATGGAACTGCCTCCCTGAACACATTGTCGGCGAGATCACTGATTCCGGTGTTCAGCCTTCAAATCCCAAGCACATGGGAATCTCCTAACTTCACCACACGCCTTGTAGGAGTGAGTCTTTGAGCTGCAGTGACCCAATTATTATGCCAATTAGATGTACTAGTGTTCGATATGGCTGTTGTTCACAATTGCACCAAATATAAAAAAAGATGTTAACAATGCACATCACTTAAAGTGTTCATTATTTGCAATGACTACATCGTAACCAAGACTCAAGGCTGAAGCGTGTGGAAAAAGTAATAATAATTTGATGCTCATATGAGCATGGGCTTGCCATTCACCTTCTGTTAGAGCCCTGAACCAGTGGTATAAATTCTGCATTCCTTTGGCAGGGGTGAAACTTACATAGCGGTATTCATTCGATGGAGCCCCGATGGTCACAGGGCTGAGTCGACCCTAGTCGGGATTTTAACTCTCAACCTTTCCAACTGTACCTTCAAATCTGTGTGCCACCAGTCCCGATTGACTTAATAGAACCAAACAAAATATTTACAACTATTGCCATGGTTTGTAAATCAGGTAGCCAGCCTGCTGAGCAGCAAAACCACTCAGAAAAGTGAGAATCCTATTTACACAAAACTACAATATACACTAGACCAGAGCCCAAAAGAAGACGAAGATACTACACTTCATTTACAAAGAGGGAAATACGTTTCCTGGCAATACAGCACTCTTTAGTTTTATATACACACACTTAGGACAGAGTCTAATCCTGTCGCCGTTACCCATGGCGGGGGGGGGGGGACCCTTCACGAGCTCGGGCCATGCTTACTGCACACCCAGCGCAGGTTGGATCCTGGCTCGGTGGGCTCCTGCACGGAACGCCAGCTGCACTGGCAGGCGTACGCCCGCGTGCCCAAGCGCCGCACCAGTCTCGCTCGCAGCTTTTCCACGTCCGGCATGTTGTTACTGCAAAGACAAAGACCCCCCCCGTATAGCCGTCACAGACTGTCGGGGCCAAGTGCTTTTAGCGAGCGCCTGCGAAGGCCAGCATGGCACATGAGGGGGTGGGTTGCCAGCACCTCGTCCGGTCGCCTTTTGTCTCCTTAGTGGCGATGTTTACACACCGCACCAGGTACTCATTTGAGGCTGAGCCAGTCTAGGGGAGGCCCAGGACCCGGTTAAAATAATCATCACTGGTGTTGGCCGTAAGTGGGAATCGAACTCGGTCGCTGGGTTCGTAGTGTAGCGCGCTAAGCGCACCACCACCGCCAGCATCACCACAAAAAGACAAAGGCACACAAACATTAATAGTCTAATCCATGATGATGTCTTCCACTGCTTTTCTTACATGTCCGTACGTTCTTCCTTGTTGAACACCATCCAGCATTGCCCATAGACCAGGATAGAAACAGTACCACGTAAGGCAGCACAATTTTAGTAGTACCAATTTGTTTAATTGACCAATAACATTGAATTATTTCATAACCCACTCATTTCAAATGGTTATCACATAATCCATTGTTATTGGTCACGTAAAGAAATTGGAACCTCTAAAGTTGTGCCACTTTAGTTGATACTGAGAAGTGCAATGCCTGGTCTGGACTCATTCCGCTCAGTCTTTTGCCAAATAATCTTCCGTCGATGGACTTCGGAAAGCCCTCTCGCACCAATCGCCTCCTTCAGCTCCTTCCATCTCACCGCCATCTGCTCAGTCCAGCTTGTGTTCCTATTCTTAATAGTTAAAACGAGTCCACGTACTTCTCATGTTCTTCTTTCTGTCTAGATTTTTTCATAACCCTCCCCCAAATCCACATTTAAAAAATTCCATTCTCATCGTATTCCTTTATAATTGGCCACGCCTCACGGGCATACATTGCCAAACACACATCCTAAAATTGAATATTACAGGTTGCAGGGGGAAAGTGCTGTTAGCATCTACGACGGCCAGTACGACACCTGGGGAGTGGTGAGGCCAACAACACGTCCAGTGGCCTTTTCTCCCTGCTGCTGATGTTTACAAACCATATCAGGTGTTCATTGAAGGCCGAGTGGAGCTATAGGCTAGGTCCACCAACGGTTTCAGCCACAAAATACAGGCCACAGCATTTCTCATGCAGTTCATGATCCACTGTATCACTGCTATACCCCCTGCATCGTGCAAGTGTAAACACACGACTGTACATAAAAACAAACACAGGCACTCGCATATACAAATACACCCACACGTACATGCAAGCAAATGCACGTACTTGTACAAACAATTTTAAATAAAATGCATACAAGACACAGATCCTCCGAAAAAGCCTTACCAGAATGTTGGGGCAAGTGTTGTTAGCGAGCACCTATGAAGGCCGGCTAGGTACACGAGGGGGCGGGTGGCCAGCACCACGCCCAATAGCTTTGGCCTCCCCCCAGTGGCGATGTTACTACGCAACACACCAGGTACTCATTCTGAGGCTGAGTCGACCTAGGGAGGCCCAGGACTGGTTCAGATAATCGTCACTGGTGTTGGCCGCGAACGGGAATCTTGCCGGGTTCGTAGTGCAGCGTGCTATCCGCTACACTACCGCTCCCCACAATGCAATGCACAAAGGATATAGATCCCCCGTATAGCCTTAACAGACTGTTGGGGAAAGTGCTATTAGTGAGCACCTATGAAGGCCGGAACGATACACGAGGGGGTGTGTGGCCAGCACCACACCCGGCCACCTTTGTCTCCCTAGTGGCGATGTTTACATACCACGCCAGGTACCCATTTATGGCTAAGTCGACCTAGGGCAGGCCAAGAACCGGTTCAGATAATTGTCACTGGTGTTGGCTGTTTGCGGGAATCGTAGCGCAGGAATCTAAGTGCAGCTCGTTAACTGTTATACTACCACTTCCCACAATGCAATGCACACGCAAGCAGGAATAAGCATCCGCTTACAATTACAAAGCGTTGTGTGTCATGTAGTGGGAAGGGAGTGCTCACCGAAAGAAGAGGTAGTCACACGAGTGATGCCACTCCATGTTGTCAAATGTCACCACGCGGAAGTCACACACTGTGCAGTGCAGCCTGTCACATGCCCTGCACCACAGAAACAAACTCATCAGGCTGTACAAATAATATTCCAATCAATCAGTAATTAAATCTAAACACCTCCTAGCTCATCATTCAAGCCATCAAGCAAGCAATCAAGCAATCAGCTATGACTTGGAAATCAGTTTTCCACCCAGTCAGGAAGGAAATGTTTTATTCAGAAGAGCACACCAATGACAGAACACCACCTCAACAGTTGCACCCACTCGTAAGAAGGCTGGAGGGGAAGTAATAATAATAATGATTATTATTATTTATTTTATACCTACGTGATTTTACCGAAAGAACCAAAGAGCATGATGATAAATATCAAACCAAAGTAAAAAATTAATTCCATACAGAGAAAGATAAAAACTACATAGAGTTTACCATGTTATTGTGGAGGATGAGGAAAGGGTTAGGGTTAAATGCAAACAGAATCTTCTAGCGATCCAATCAAATCTTTGTTCAATCGTGCAATACGGCTGCGATCAACTGTTGGCTGCCCCGAGCCAGTGGTGAGAAAATGTCATGCACATTTTACGGGAACAAATGTCTCCAAAGGACAAACACTGTTGGCTTCCCGCAAACTGGTGCTCATTTTATCGATGCCGGGAAGATGATGAGCCGAGCTGATTCCTAAACAGGAATTGAACTCGCAACCATTCAAAGTGCTATAACCACAGTCGCATTTTACTTCTAGTTGTTAGTGAATCAAGCTGCTCGTACACGGAATGGATTCCGTTTCCCAAGCCGTAGTTTAATCACTGAGCAAACCAATTACAGTTCATTGGATTCAACCTATTAAAAAAATTGCAATTAGCCAATCAGTCACTCAACCCAATCTCCACCACAACCAACAAATAAAGCAGCTATTTGTTCAATGTACCGGGACAATTTCTGTTCATATTGCTTCAAAATGTTAATAGTACTCTTTGATGCAACAGAAAGGCAACATAGGGAGATGCAGAGTGAGGATGGGGATAAAGGCCATATCAATTTTAAGGTTTGGGGTAAGATCAGCATATACAAAATATTATATAAATGACAGAATGCCGATATTTTACTCTGACATATGAGAAAGGCAAATTGCACACAATTAAATAGACAAAAACCTTAGATGTCACGGGAAAATCTAATCAATGCTTCGACATGTAATGAGGTTTTGAGAATACAAGTTATTTATGATGTTTAATGGACAGTGTGAATGTGTTCAATATGCAATACACCGTAATATCTAAGGGGATGCGTGATTATAAATATGCAATAGAGCCTTTAAAAAATAATGTTATATATGGGTTTCACTAAGTTCCAATAAGTAACATATAAGAAATCACGTGTTCAATGGTAAATCTACACAGCATTGCACCTATAATATGGGGAGTTTGTTTTGGATTTGTGAATGCCATACAATGATTTATCAGATGTTAAAGAAGCGTTATACTGCATAATTATAACCATGCCGAACTGTGTTATAATCTCACCCAACTTATGTTTTGGAATAGACTTTACACAAAGGTATTGAATATAACGGTTTCTTTGAATATACAAAGACTAAATGGGCAGCCCATTTCCATCGCAAGGGAAAGCTGTGAAAAATATATAATATACACCTATAACATTGTTTAGCTGCATAAGTGGGATTTAGAGAAGTAGTATGCAAATGGTTTCCAAGATAACACAATTGAATATACGTAACTTTACTTAATTTATACATAGCTACATTATTCTAAAAGACTAACTTATGCAAACGTTCATAGCGTATGAAAAAAATATCATATGATTAATAACATCCTTGTTAAAATATTAAGCAATAATAAAATGGAGAAAAACAACAGCAGTATGGAGAGAAGGCATGTGTGGAGAACATCTTAACAACCAATACAGTTAAATGTAAACATTATTTCTGAACATTGTTTTTGTTTCCTGTTCACGTACTCTTCTAAAACATTTACACGTGTGTGTATCAAGAAATTAGTCATTGTACGACAATAAATGTAACAAAGCTAGCGCAATATAAAAGATGAGGAGGGTATGAAATTTAATTCCATGACACTAGGGCATCACGTGTCAAAGATGTACTCATAGGATGTGGCAGATGGGTTTTGAGTCATGTTTCACCTTGCATGTTCTATCTTGTGGAACTAAGCAATTTCATCAAATGCCACTGTAAAGACTTGTAAATGTGACTGGAAGAGCAAGTTCAGTCACCACCACAATTTTCTTTGAATGACAACGGAAGGGAATTAAATGAGTACAATGTTAATTGGTACATTGGATGTAGTGGGGTATTTAATGCTTAAAAATGTAATGAGGTTTTGGGAATGCAAATTATTGTTTAAAAATGAGCATAGCCATTTTTAAATGTAGCTTTGCATTCAGTCCGTACAAGGTGTTTTAGAATAGCTGAAGAAGCATTCTCAATTTGGACCCACACATTTTCTTCTCAGTACTGTTAAAAGCATTTTTATTGGAACAGCAGCGATGGGGAAAGAAAATTGGAATGGAATGTTATTTTGACAATGCAATAAAAAAACGAAATCGTCATAAACCGAATTGGAGAGAACAAAATGTTTTTGGAACAAAAATGGAATAGTTGCAAATAATTCCCATTCCACTCTGGACTACAGTGTTACGTAGCTCTGGAAATAAAACTGCCTGACAAACTATATTACATTTTGATTTAAAGCTTTCGTGACTGCAGGGATTCATATTCTTGGTTCTTTCGGTAAAGTCACGTAGAAGGGAAACAATAAAATAATAAAAATATATAAAACAATAAAAAAACAATTGTATTGTTTTATATATTTTTTATTCATTTTAAAAAAAACAATTTTATTGCTTTATATATTTTTATTATTTTATTGTTTCCCTTCTACGTGACTTTACCAAAAGAACCAAGAATATGAAACTATATTACATCTTAAAATGTACGGATCCCACTAGGTTTGTGTATCCCTCCATGAAATACTAAGAGAACGTTTATATTAAATGTTGTACATTGCACATTGCAGAGTGCTCTGGCCAATGGGAATTTTGAAACATCATCCGATCATTATTTTATTGTCAGTTTTTGTGCCAGTTAAAAGGGTAAAACCTATTACTATATCTTGTTACTGGCAAAGGAGGTCTCATAATGTAAATGCTCACCCCGAGCCCTCAAAACTCTGACAGTGCGCTGTTTTAGAGTTGTACGCCTTTTGGCGTCTTCTGGTCCAACACCAGTGGAGACTAGGCTCTAAGAAAAGCTGTCTCGGGTGTGGACCAATCAAATTCAAAGACAGTGCATATTATTATCAGAGTTGTCTCTTTTGTTTGCATTTTGACTGCTTGTGTTGTGGTTATTGCAAACATGATGCCTTGAATAAAGGTGTCAGTTTTTGTGCCAGTTAAAAGGGTAAAACCTATTACTACACTATCATCCAATCACTTGTTAAATGTTCTAAATTCAGACAGGTAGCAGCAGCAGGACAATTCCAATTGCATCTCACAGGAATATGCATATGACAAGGGAGAAGTGATCGAATGCTTGGCAGCTGAAGATGTTTCACCATTATGCCTTCATATGTATAGTTTTATTTTTGTTGTGCAGCATGTGTCGATGTGAGTATTGGAATGTACGGTGGGAAAATCAACCTTGAATATAGAGGCATATCAACAACTGTGATTGCAGTGAAAATTGGGAATGTTTATGAACACATGTGGACATTGAGTTGTCTTACTCATGGACTAACATACTCAAAAGGCAAAATCATCAGCTGAGATCTAACTTCAACTGGACAATTCCAGACCACGCACGTGCTTGACAGCATCGTACATAGCCAAACGTGCTAATCGGAGGAGCGAGAAGTGTATATGTACGTTGAACTTCTTTTGCATCATAGGAAGCCAAATGTGCTAATTGGAGGAGCAGGAAGCATAAGAAGCCATTGCCAAGATGAGGTAGACTCTGCTCCCCTACTCAGCCCAAAACCCAGCCATTGAAAATGAATTTCAGTCCACTGAACGATAGCCCTCATGAACAAAATTCTGACAATGTCATTTCCATAAAGGAAATTAGCCAATGATTGCATGATGCTGCCAAATATATTCCCCATAGTAGCATACACGTCATTGCTTCACGATGCACAAATCTATAGTAAAGTATATTATCTGGGGAAAATGAAGCAATATCTTCACATTCGAAATTAATGTCTGCACAGATATTTTTTCGAGGAATTAACTGACCATTCTTCAGAACCATTTAGAGTAACCCACTCAGGTAATCCTTGTACACCACTGGGTTATTATACATTACTCACAATAAAACAAAGTATTATTTCCCATAATTCACGAATATTTATTTCTACTGCTTTGAACATACAGAAGGGGTAACCCGAGCCACCACCAAAGATTGATGAGCAGACTACTGCTCCAGCCAAGTGACAAATGATGAAGTTGGAACTGATACCATTAAAATCGCGAAGCATGTGTGTACTGAAGAACCACAGCAATTGCGAATATAATGGATAAATCACAAAAAGAGATCAGCAGAGTTGAGCACCTTAGACTTGAATTGAGTGATAAGAGCTAGTTGCTTCTTTTATGTGGCAGAGTGTTTTTTGGGAATTTCCTATGTTCATGATCTAGTAGATGTGATGTATCGTCTGGTTACTGTGCATCTATCAGTATAAGCTGGGTACCTGCATGAAATGGTAGTTCCCAGTCCGCATGGAAGCTTGCTTCCCCCCAGATAAACGGGGCAGCACCTTGCATGAGCAACGCACGAGACAGCAGCAGCAGCAGACAAGCGATCTTACAGCTCAACAGCGCCACACTCAGGAAACCATCATGCAAAGCATGGAATGCAGGCATATGTTGACGTTTAAATTGGTTTCACACGTACTATTAAAAACTGTCAATTATTATTTTTTATCTTACCAGGTAAGGCCCACTGAATTATAGAGCTCTTTTTCAGAAGCGACCTCGACGCAAATAATAACCTTAAGAAGTGGCTTATCACGTGGACATTTATATAGCAGCCAAATATTTTAAACGCAGGTTTCTAAATGTGGAAGGGAAAAAAAAAACGAAAGGCCTGGAGAGAAATCCACGCGACCACGGGGAGAACATGCAAACCCCAACGGTCGGGATCAAACCCACAACCTCCTGTATACCAGGCAAAGTAGTTACCATATCGCCACCACGGCACCAGGTAATGAGACGTGCTTAGAAAGAAAGATTTACAACTAAATTTGCCTTTGCTGTCAATACAGTTATACAAATCTGGTCAGACACACAAACCAGTTTATGAGACGTACTACCAAACTTTCTTTTAAATACAGGTGAAAAAGTGCATCTTGTAATCAGGAGAATATTGTGACCAATATAATTATTCACGTACATAGCATACTACACTGAAGGAAGTTTTTAAAAACACACTAATATACTGGAACTATTTGGATAGTATCATAAACGTTTTTAAATATGATGTTTAAAGAAAACGCTTAGCCAAATGCAATTTTTAGCCCTATCCTTCAAGGATTTGCTCCATACTTCGAAGTTTCTTACGCTCCATCATCAAATTCCTACCATCCTCCACAGGCACATATGTTCATAAGCCAGAAATATAGTCAAACATTTATATTATCTAGGATCCAGCTTTGTGGATTTTAACTAACATAGTCTATATTGTGACATATCTACTGCAGCAAATTGGGGTTAACCCCCTCTGCAAACTAATTAGTTAACAATCCATCTGCCCAATATGCTAAGGCATGTAATCCTCTATATCCAGCTTACCTGGGTCTATTTACGTTGCTTAAATTACGCCACATATAATGACACCATAAGTTCATTAATAGGCAGCTCTGCCTAACCTGCCTGATACTAGAGATCACTGTTATTATTCCAGACATGTGTAAATATCACATAAGGCATTTTTTGTCTGTCTGTCTGCGTACGCTCGCTTGGGGGGGATTTGGCTCTCGGACCGTGGGGTTCGCGTAGAAAAAAATTTGCCGGGCGACACGCCCTGGGCCCCGCGGTGGGAATAGGCTATTTCGTTTTCTCATCCCTAAACTTTAAAGTGGTTAAAATCGCGTTTTGGCGCGATTAATCTTTATTTATTTATTTACTTTTGCCGATCGGCTCGCTGCTGCGCATGCGCGAGACGCCGACACGAGTTGTTGCCCCTGGCAACGCACTCACGCCGTCACCGCAGGGCGGACGCCATTTCTCATTCGCGTTCAAAATGCAAAAAATGTACACGCAACGCTGAGGTAAATTCATCAAAGTGTAACGTCCTCTTCTCTCCCCCTTCACCCCAATGTGTGCACTTACTATTATAGGGTCGGTAGATACTAAAATTATAGCGATTAAATTGTATTATTGTAGCGCGAGGGGGATAGCGGCCCAGGCCCCAGCCTCGGCCGGCCGGGCAATCTAGGCGAGGCCGGGGGCTCTGCACGGGACTAGGCCTCGTCACGGCACTCTGTCAAGTGAGGACTTTGTGCTATAGAGTCGATATATACTGCTACTAGCGGGAAAATATATATTCTAAAACGTCTGAAAACTAAAAAACATAACATACAAATGAAAAGATAACTCATTAATTTAATATTCTTAGCTCTTTCGGTAAAGTCACGTTGAAGGGAAACAATAAAATAATAAAATATATAAAACAATAAAAATTCTCACGACGTTTCGACCATAACACAAACGGTCGTCATCAGGTGTGTCGGTTTGCATTAATAAATTTATTTTTAAATGGTGTATTTATTTATTTATTAAAACGTCAGCGCCACGTGCAGCGATTTGACAGTTTATTTATAAGGACGAGTCCATCTATGTTCTGAGAAGAGGAGGGGGGAGACGACAAATTAATGTATGCTGTCTGAAAGCCACTGTAAGCGTGAACAATCAATTAAGACCTGAAATGGTTTATCAAATCTTTCCAATGATTGCTAAGCCAGAATACATCTTCTCGGTTGAAATTGTCTCATGGTACCATGAGAGATTCGTTCGTGAGGCTATCCACATATACAAGCACAGAGACAATTTCAACCGAGAAGATGGATTCTGGCTTAGCAATCATTGGAAAGATTTGATAAACCATTTCAGGTCTTAATTGATTGTTCACGCTTACAGTGGCTTTCAGACAGCATACATTAATTTTTCACCATAGTCGGTATGCACTGCTGTAGTCATAGCAAGATACCACCACGGTCAGCATGCAATGCTGTAGTCATAGCAGGTACCACCACAATCAGCATGCAATGCTGTAGTCATAGCAGGATACCACCACAGTTACTATGCACTGCTGTCATCATAGCAGGCACGACCACAGTCAGTATGCACTGCTGTAGTGAAAGCAGGTACCACCGCAGTCAGTATGCACTGCTGCTATCATATCAGGTACCACTATGATGAGTATGCACTGCTATAGTTAAAGCAGGTACCACCACAGCAGTATGCATTGCTGTAATAGCAGATACCACCACAATATGCACTGCTGTAATCATAGCAGGTACCACCACAATAAGTATGCACTGCTGTAGTGCAAGCAGGTGCCACCACTGTCAGTATGCACTGCTGTAGTGATAGCAGGTACCACCTCAGTCGGTATGTACTGCTGTAGTGATAGTAGATACTGCTATCGAGTTGGTAGATACTGCTATACAGAGTTAGTAGATACTAAAACAGTCAGTATATACCACTACAGTCAGTCAATACTGCTACAGTCAGTATATACTACTATACAGTCAGTACATACTACGACGGTGAGTAGCTACTAGAGTTAGTAGATACTACTATAGAGTGAGTAGATACTGCTATAGAGTTAGTAGTTACTACTATAGTCAGTGGATACTACTATAGAGTCAGCAGATACTACTATAGAGTTAGTTGTTACTACTATAGAGTCGGTAGATACTACTGTAGGCCCAGTAAATACTACTACGGTCAGTAGTTACTACAGTCACTAAATACTACTAAACAGTCAGTAGCTACTACTGGCTCAGTAGATACTACTATACAGTCAGTAGATACAACTACAGAGTCAATAGATACTACTTACTCTGTTGTATGTAAGGTGTGTAGGTATATATACCTATATACCTACACTGGGGTAAAGATATTTTTTGAGGGGGGGGTCAACAATTTTCGGAAACCTTTTACATCAACTATTGACCCCACACTTTCTATAACTTTTTGGACTTTTGCAAGCCTCTTATAATTTTGTTGGTGGACAAATGGACAAACGGACCACCGGGCCTTCACAATAGCTTAGTATCTGTGTATGTATATGTAAGGTTTTTAAGAGAAGTTTTGAAATATATTTTTCACCCGGGCAACGCCGGGTACTTCCCGCTAGTATCCCATATTTTACTCCATCGAATTAATTACTTAACCCTGACTTCCACAACAGGTGACACAAGGTTCACAAACTCACTGGTGTGGCAGGTGATGGCTTTAAAAGGAGACTAAACATTAGAAGGCTATTGGAATTATTAATTCTAAGGATTCCTTTATAATCGCATTTGTAAGCTATGGCTATCACTTTCTACATGTTTTCCTGAATAAGGCAATCATCTTTTATTTAAACAGATATATTAATAACTAGAATTTTTTTGCCAATGGCTTCAAGAAAGTGTACAAAGAGACCGATATCTCCTTGACATTAGCTTTAAAATATAATATTCATACTATTTTATTCATGAGTTTAATCTAACACATATTGACACATTTTGGACTCCTCACCTACACCATTAGAGATTATATCACCGCAATCTTAAAATTTCTGCAATGGCTCCCAATTCAATGTTGAATTAACTAAAAGGTCGACCACACTATTGTCAATATTCTTTGTGAACTCACCCCGCATGCCTCCCTTAACTCATCCCACTCTATTCTCCTTCCTCGACTCTTTGCTCAAACAACTCAGGCTTCCAAGCTAAACCTCCAGTCATCCTTTGCTCAATGGCAGAATACTCCTTTTCTGATGCTGTTTACGTTGTCTGAAACTTTCTTCCTCAGGTCATCTGCACTGCCAACTCCATCCCTATTTGTCTTGCTCCAGTATCTTCATTCTTACCTACACTGGACTGTGGTCTTCTATCCGTCAACACCCCGAGCTTTCGAATTCTTAAAGTTTCTGCTTCACCCCCCCCCCTCCGAATAAAAGCATATTTCCTGATTTTAAAAAATCATCCTCTTTCCCAAGCCCTCTCGACGTGTCGATGTCACACTTTCTTATGCCATGTTTTGAGATGTGGCAGTATTTAGACACTTCACAAATCCCAAATTTATGGTACCTCCATCTTGGTAAGTTAGGGGAGTACCTGCTTGCAGAGCTCCTCGTAGCTTCTTTGGTTGGGTCCACATGGGCCACCTGTGCCAGAGGAACACGGGCAGCTCTGCAGGCTTTAGGCTGTGGGTTATATCATAGGGACAGAGACTTGGTGGGGGTTGTAACAGCAACGAGACATTTGAGCTTTTATCAGATAGAAATCCCCAAACAACGAATTGAAGATGCTTTGAAACATTATTGGTATTTGAAATATTTTATGAACGGAGAATTTCCTACATGCTTTAAAAGCATAATTTGGAATATGTGCATTTCAGCAGTCTTTATTCGTTTCGGATAAGACCTGGTTGTTCACAAAGAAACAAGTATAAACCTAAAAGTTTTCCAAAGATCTATGAAGAGATGCATTTTTCGAGTAATGAATAAAGAAGCCATTCATTTGCTCGAGTTCAATTCCTGAAGAAACTCCCAGAACATGCAGCGAAACGTCGGACATCACGCCAAACAACACGCGGTTCAACCTGAGAACTAATCTATGGCACGTCCTGCACATATAACAAAACAGCCTCGGATTAGTCAATCACAATTAGGCAAGACATGACACTGCATTTTCAATATCACTGATTATTAAAATTGTGGGATATCCTGAAATAAAATGTATAACCCATATCTGCTCCACTGTCCTGGTGGTAGGGTTTCTTGAGAATAGGAAGATTACATTAATGTTTAAGTTAATTGTGTGGCCAATTGTGGGCAGAAGATTACATATGAACCTTATGGCAGTACCCCGGTGTACCATAGCACCCAGGCTCTCGCATAATGTCCGTGATGCAGTCATTTCTAGTCTGTTGATGGTCGGCGATGCGGCAATCGACTCGTCTCGACGAGCTGTACACGATGCACCACCACGGTGCGTACGAGCGTTCAGGGTTTCAGCTCAATCGTCCTTGCTACGTTTCGACATCGCGGAGTAGCACTGATGTCGGATTGATTGGTACCCCAGTCGCGGAGTTAAGTAACACCCCTGGAAAAAATAGTGACGCAGAAATAAAATATTTAATTGCCTCGGCCATTTTGTATTATTTGGTACCCTGGGGTCCCGCCATAAGGATCATATGAAAGTGAATGATCAAGTACCTATGAAGTCATAACAGGTTATCTAATAAAAACAGAAAATGTGGGTTTTTAATGTTTTGTGGGTAATCAAGACAGACATTTTGCTCCACGTGGAGTGTAATTTCGGACATCATGACAAACAATACGCGGTACAACCAAAAAACACATTGGAGATCTATGTTAAATATGGTTCTGACTTTTAGTCTTATAAAATCTGCAAAATGCAGCTAACATACCTGTCAAACCCATACCGTTTACCTATATTTTTGTACAGGGAAATGTAGTTTTCAGGTCCATATGGCGTACAGCCGTTTCAATAGGGGCAAAAACAATCATACGGCCAACAAAAAGTTTTTAACCCTTTATAATTTAATGTGTTTATTGTTGTGCATCCGCATATCAAGCAAGCAGCAGCATCAGCATGCAAGATCACAAACAGTAGCATGATAAGTAACATCATTGAAATCAATTACCAAACTGAATACATAAAAGTTTTTGTTCAGTAACATAATTTTTGTCTATTCGTTTGTGTTTCTCCCTTGTGATGGGACTTTGTAGGATGAACGTTGAGATTTATAAGGGTACGGGGTGACCAATACGGTCTGAATTGGTCTGTAATAAGGTATGCACTGATAAGGAGTTGACAGGTATGAGCTAATGTATATATAGATCAGTGTTTCTCAAACTTCAGTCCTCACAATCCTCCATAATGTAGCTTTTCATAGATAGCAACCTTTTCAATTTATATACACATTGAGCCAACCACTTAAGTGGAGCCACTAAGCCAGAGTTTGAGAAACATATTTGATAAACTAGCGTTGCCATCTAAAATAATGTCAGTAAAACCCAATTCTACTCTAATAATGACCGTGAAGCAGTGCTTCTAATTACTTTCCCGAAGATCAGAGCGATATCAATAAAAAAGCAAGCAGTGAGTCATGTTGGGACTACAGGGTCACATAGCATGCTTACCATTGGCTTATCTTCCACTTCTAAGAGCTCTTCCAGGAGGGCCTCTATGTTGTCTTCATCTTTCTTCTTTTTAACCTTCCTGCGGATAACACGGTAATTACGTTACGACAAAAAGATTACTTGTGTTATGACTCAGGCAACATTTTCTCTTCTATCACACTTTAAGATCTCATTGCTCTTACCAGTATATATAATTCTACATTAACAATCATAACCCTGATAACATGTAATCTTCAGGGTTATTTTTTTAGACTAAATGTTCATATTATATTCACTCTTGCGAACACACTCTTTGAATGCTATCCACATGTTACAATAATGGCTCAGTGTACCAAGCACATTTTACCGGCTTTACGTAACATTAAGGCGTTTAACAATTCAAATTTGAAGAAAAAAAAGTTCCACCCGATAGATTTGAAATCATGTTACAATCCGAGTGACGTACATGTCGACGATGATCAAGCAATGGTGTACAGGGTGGTGCAAATGTCTTGTTACCCGCAATTAATTGACCCATAACATGTTTTCCCTTTGCTTATAGATTTCTGTTTTTTAAATAAACCTTACTTAAAAAATATATAACGTTTTAGATAATTAAATGAGCGTCCCTATACATTCGCACCATCCTGTATTTTAGTGCACGTTTGCAAAAATACTGATACATCTTCGCACATTGACAGCTTACATACACTTGCTTCAAACACCAGGGCAAGTGTAGAGATAGGGATGTGGACTGGAAAACTCCGTGCATGTTTTCAACTACTATAAATGTCTACAAGTTTTACAAAAATAAAATGTCGCTGATAAAAAATGTCTAATTATTTGAACAATCTTCAAGAACATCCAAACAATATCCATTAAAGAATTGGTCAAATATCTCAATGCAACACCGGTATTGGGATATTCAGGCTTTACTCGGGATTCGTTGGATATAATTTATTATAGACAAATGCGTGCATATCATTTCCACCTTCCCATCGTCAATGTGACACTCCACGGACTCCACCTCTTGAGTTAAACGCCAAAAGTGCCTTCTTTCTGAAGGCCCCTTCATCAACGGCCCTCTAAAATATATCGACTTCTCCCGGTTATAAGACGCTCGGGAATGTAACACGCACCCAAAACCTGTGCCCGGTGTCAATACAGTTAGACAAATTCTGTTCTCACACACACACACACACGTACAGGATGAGCATATTTGTCAATAACATATAATTGGCGACGTTTCGGATCATGGACCTGCTGCATTGCACCAGGGACCGTTTCCCAAAACGTCGCCTATTATATAGTTGTTTTCCTTTTAGGGTAGTGTCATTGACATGTGTTGCGGTTTTGCTTTATGTGCACAAATTCACGAGCAACGCCACCGCTTGTCACAACGACCGGACTATAGGACGCACCCACAACTTTTGCTTTACAATTCGGGGGGTGAAGGTGGGGTCTTATAATCCGGAGAACACGGTACCATCAGGATTAAAACAATAAACTATTTTAATGTAAACAAGTACAGCCCACTGAGCTGCGTAGCTCTTTTTCGGAAGCGACCTGGCCACAAATTATAGCCCCTCCAAGTGGCTTATCGCGTGGAAATTTATAGGAGCCCAATACTCTAAACGCGTGTTGTGTGATTCTAAATGTGGAGGGAAAATCCGGAGGACCCGAAGAGAAATCCACGCGACCACCGGGGAAGAGGGAGAGACACGCACACTCGAAATGTACAGCGGGCGTCAGGGTCGGAATGGAACCCACGACCTCCTGCATACCAGGCGAGGTAGTTAACATCTCCAAGCCACCGTGATGACGATGAGAGACACGCAAACTCCAAATATACAGCAGCAGGCGTCGTCAGGGGTGGGATCGAACCCACGACCTCCTGTATACCAGGAGAGGTAGTTAACATCTCCGAGCCACCGTGATGATGATGAGAGCGAGACGCAAACTCCAAATATACAGCAGCAGGCGTCGTCAGGGGTGGGATCGAACCCACGACCTCCTGTATACCAGGAGAGGTAGTTAACATCTCCGAGCCACCGTGATGATGATGAGAGCGAGACGCAAACTCCAAATATACAGCAGCAGGCGTCGTCAGGTTCGGCATCCAACCCACGATCTCCTGCACACCAGAGGTAGTTAACATCCCCTAGCCACCGTGATGATGACACGCAAACTCCAAATATACAGCAGCAGGCGTCGTCAGGGTCGGAATGGAACCCACGACCTCCTGCATTCCAGGCGAGGTAGTTAACATCTCCTAGCCACCGTGATGACGATGAGAGACACGCAAACTCCAAATATACAGCAGCAGGCGTCGTCAGGGGCGGGATCGAACCCACGACCTCCTGTATATCAGGAGAGGTAGTTAACATCTCCTAGCCACCGTGATGTTGATGATGAGAGCGAGACGCAAACTCCAAATATACAGCAGCAGGGGTCGTCAGGGGCGGGATCCAACCCACGACCTCCTGTATACCAGGTGAGGTAGTTAACATCTCCTAGCCCACTTCGTGGGCGTTGACTCGCGTATGCAGCCGAAAGGAGTGGGGGGTGGGGAGGAGCGGGGAGGCGCACTTGTCTGGCCCCGGCGCCGCCGTCGCCGCCGCCGACGACGCCGCGGTCTCGGCCTCGTCGAGAAGCCGGTCGAGGTCGTCCAACATCGCGCGGCCTTTGTCCTCCACCACCCCCCCACCACCCCCGTGGCCTCCTTCCCTCAGCCCGAGAGAGCGCGCCGAGGCCTCCGTCTCTACCCAGCCCCGACGGGCGTTTGCCCATTGGCCCCAGCGCGCAAGCCCCGCCCCTCCCCCCACCACCGCGTGACGGCGACCGACCAATCCGCTACACGGGAGGGTCCGCCCGGTGTGCGGTGGGGATTTGAAATGGCGCCGCGTTGTTGCCCCTGGTTACGGGGGGATGGGCTCGCGACCCCCGGTGTCAGATTTGCGAGGTTTTTAACCTCCAGATGCTGGGTTCACAATTTCAACCTCATATTCTTGGTTCTTTCGGTAAAGTCACGTAGAAGGGAAACAAGAAAATAATAAAAAATATATAAAACAATAAAATTCTCACGACGTTTCGACTGCAACACAAGCAATCATCAGGTGTGAAAACCACAGCAATATTTTTTTCTTCAAATTTTCTTGAATCCCTGCAGTCACGAAAGCTTTAAATCAAATTTAATGTCAACCTCCGTATTCTTAATGGATTTGGAGCTTTCGTGACTGCAGGAATTACTCTTTGGGTCTTTCGGTAAAGTCACGTAGAAAGATAAAATAATAAATTAAATAAAAGCATACGACGTTTCGATTGCAACACAAGCAATCATCATCAGGTACAAATGAAAGAGAAAACAAACGGCTTTCTTTTGAGCCTCTTGGCGTCATCTGGTCGAGCACCAATTGGATCGAGGCTCAAAAGAAAGCCGTCCCTTGGCGTGGACCAATCAGTTTCAAGGACAATGCATCATATATTATCATAGTATGTGTTTTGTTTGCATTTTGACTGCAGGTATTGTGGTTAATGCAGACATGAATCCCTGTAAAAAGGTTTCAGTTTTGTTGCCAGAAAAAAGGGAAAAATCCCTATTATTGGTCAACCCTATTGTTTCTTCATTTTGGATATCGCCAACAACAAAAAGAGGTCCCATAGCTTTTGTCGGGGGACCGTGCGTCAGTGGGGGCCGTCACTAAAAAAGGCCACCAGGGTCCACCGAGAGGGCTTTGACAAACGAAGAACGCTGCTTTAGTTTACGCTACAAGATTTAAAACCCGTAACAAGGTAAAACCAAAAAACTCCCCCCACGTCTACTCTACCCACAAATTGCCTTGCATGTGCCAGCAATGGTTTGTTAATATGGCAAGTTTCAGTTTTCATATATTTCAGTTTCATTTATTTTGGTATAGCCCTTTGAGCCATTCGGCTCTTGAATCGGGTGCAACCACAACAAACAAAAAAATGAACATAAAGTGACTATGTGACTTTGTGCAAACAGAAAATCCAGGAAAAAACAGCGAAATATTCCAGAAAAAGCACCGTACACCAACGCTGTGTGCACAAATCCCAGTGGGATGCAAGTCAAACAACAACAACAAAAACAACAACCACAAGACAACGTAGATTAAGGCCATCAGTCTTACTCTGTACTACAACAAACAAACATGGCCAAACCAAAAAACGTTTTAGAAATCACCACAATAAAGCCATACAAGCAATGTAACAGTGATGAAGGTCGTCACGAGCAAGCGTGGTCGTTGTTGTGGGTAGCGGTCGTGGTAGTGGCGAGCGCCCCAGAATTCGATTCCCGCTCACGGCCACCGACGACTATCAGTGACGATGATCTGAACCGGCTCTTGGCCTCAAATGAGTACCCGGTGGGGTGTGTAGTATAAATGACGTCACGCACCTAGGGGGGAGGGTCAAACATTTGCGACGATGTGTGACGAGGCGAGGGGGGGGTTTGAGAAATGTGACGTCACATCAAAATGCGCAACTTCAAATAAATATAGACAGCACGTTCTATTTCATTAAATAGACTTTTTAATACGTTTTCTCCTACAACATCAGAGTGCAGCGCCACATTAAATACGCACTACAATGACAATAGTTTAAAGCGATTTGAAGCATGGAAATATGGTTTTGGGGGGCAGAGCTTTGTAACGTCATATTTGAGGGAGGGTCTGACTTTTTGTGACTCCGTGTGACGAGGGGGGGAGGGGTTAAAAATCGTCCAAAATCGCGTGACGTCATCTATGGACAGTCCCTAAACATCGCCACTGGGAGAGACAACGGAGGCCGGGCTTGGTTGCTGCCCACCCCACCTCCTCGTGTGTAACAGTGGCGGCCTTAATAGGTGTTCGCTAACAGCACTTGCCCCAACAGTCCGTTACATGTGCAATCTTTGTAGTTTCAGAGGCTAGTGGTTAGCGCGCTGCGCTACGAACTCGGCGGACCGAGTTCCATTCCCGCTCACCGGCCAACAATCCCAGCGACAATTTTCCGATCCGTTCCCAGGGGCCTTCCCAAGGGGGAGACAAAGGCGGCCGGGGGTGGTTGCTGGCTACCCTACCACCCTGGAGCCGGGGGGGGGGGGGGGCGACGGAGCTGGGGGGGGGGGGGGGGCGACGGCGCGAGAAGAGGGAGCCGACACTGACTTTCTCATACATCATACACTGACTCACTCACACACCATACACTGACTCACTCACACACCATACACTGACTCACTCACACACCATACACTGACTCACTCACACATCATGCACTGACTCACTCACACATCATACACTGACTCTCACACATCATACACTGACTCGCTCACACATCATACACTGACTCACTCACACATCATGCACTGACTCACTCACACATCATACACTGACTCGCTCACACACCATACACTGACTCACTCACACACCATACACTGACTCACTCACACATCATGCACTGACTCACTCACACATCATACACTGACTCACTCACACACCATGCACTGACTCACTCACACACCATGCACTGACTCACTCACACACCATACACTGACTCACTCACACATCATGCACTGACTCACTCACACATCATGCACTGACTCACTCACACATCATGCACTGACTCGCTCATCATGCGCTTACTCACTCACACATCATACACTCGCACAACCACTGACCCATTCACTCATCATGCACAGGTTCACTCATCGTGTGCTGGCTCACTTGCACATCATACACTCACTCCCACTGCCGCTGACTTGCTCACACATCATACACTGACTCACTCATCATGCGCTGACTCACACATCATACACTCGCACAACCACTGACCCATTCACTCATCATACACAGGTTCACTCATCGTGTGCTGGCTCTCTCGCACATCATACACTCACTCCCACTGCCGCTGACTTGCTCACACATCATACACTGACTCACTCATCATGCGCTGACTAACACATCATACACTCACTCAACCTAATACTGACTCAATCATCATGCGCTGACTCGCACATCATACGCTGACTCGCACATCATACACTCACTCACGCTGCTGCTGACTCACTCACACATCATACACTCACTCACGCTGCAACTGACTCACTCACACACCATACACTCACTCACACATCATACACTCACTCATCATACACTCACTCACACATCATACACTCACTCACTCATCATACACTCACTCACACATCATACACTCACTCACACATCACTCATCATACACTCACTCACACATCATACACTCACTCACTCATCATACACTCACTCACACATCATACACTCACTCACACATCACTCATCATACACTCACTCACACATCATACACTCATGCTGCTGCTGACTCACTCACACATCATACACTGAATACCACATCATAATCTCACTCACACATCATACACTCACTCACACATCATACACACACTCACACATCATACACTCACTCACGCTGCTGCTGACTCACTCACACATCATACACTGAATAACACATCATACACTCACTCACACATCATACACTCACTCACACATCATACACTCACTCACGCTGCTGCTGACTCACTCACACATCATACACCCACTCACTCATCATACACTCACTCACTCATCATACACTCACTCACACATCATACACTCACTCACACATCACTCATCATACACTCACTCACACATCATATACTCACTCACTCATCATACACTCACTCACACATCATACACTCACTCACACATCACTCATCATACACTCACTCACACATCATACACTCACTCACGCTGCTGCTGACTCACTCACACATCATACACTGAATAACACATCATAATCTCACTCACACATCATACACTCACTCACACATAATACACTCACTCACACATCATACACTCACTCACGCTGCTGCTGACTCACTCACACATCATACACTGAATAACACATCATACACTCACTCACACATCATACACTCACTCACGCTGCTGCTGACTCACACACCATACACTCACTCACTCATCATACACTCACTCACTCATCATACACTCACTCACACATCATACACTCACTCACACATCACTCATCATACACTCACTCACACATCATATACTCACTCACTCATCATACACTCACTCACACATCATACACTCACTCACTCATCATACACTCACTCACACATCATACACTCACTCACGCTGCTGCTGACTCACTCACACATCATACACTGACTCACTCATCAAACACTCACTCACACTGCAGTTGACTCACTCACACATCATACACTCACTCACGCTGCTGCTGACTCACTCACTCATCATACACTCACTCACTCACACATCATACACTCACTCACTCATCATACACTCACTCACTCATCATACACTCACTCACACATCATACACTCACTCACGCTGCTGCTGACTCACTCACACATCATACACTGAATAACACATCATACACTCACTCACACATCATACACTCACTCACACATCATACACTCACTCACTCATCATACACTCGCTCACACTGCAGTTGACTCACACATCATACACTCACTCACGCTGCTCCTGACTCACTCACACATCATACACTGAATAACACATCATACACTCACACATCATACACTCACTCACACATCATACACTCACTCACACATCATACACTGACTCACTCATCATACACTCACTCACACTCAAGTTGACTCACTCACACATCATACACTCACTCACACATCATACACTCACTCACACATCATACACTCACTCACGCTGCTCCTGACTCACTC